GACTCTATGGCTCTGGACCCTGCCATGAACCAGGGGGTGGACTTATCTGTCCTTGCCACTCCAGTGATTTCTTCGTAGCCAACACTGTCTTCAAGCAACCAAAATGATGGTCTGTAGACACAGACGTCACCTGATGGAGCACAAACTGATCAGTCACTGTTAAAAGGAGGTGGAGAAGCTCAGTTACAGCTTCAGAGAGATGTGGCCAGGCACCGACTGTGGATCACAAGCTGCTCCAGGTTAAGCTGATGAAGAAGAAGAAAGCCAGTCAGCTCCCATGGTGTGGACCAGAACATGTACCCACCAGGTCCAGTCTGATGAAGAGAAGGACCGTGGGTGTGGGTGTGACATGATAGCAGCCTTCCCATATCTGAGGGGTGCCACAAGAAGAAGGGGTCAACCTATTCTCTAAAGCACCTGAGGTCATGACAAGAAGTAATGGAATCTTAACAAAAATATATCCAATCTGGAACTAAGGAGAAATTTCCTGACTGTGAGAACACTTAATCAGTGGAACGACCTGCCTCCAGAGGTTGTGGGTGCTCCAACATTGGAGGTTTTCAAGAACAGTTTGGACGGCCATTTATTTGGAATTGTATAAGGTCTCCCACTTAAGCAGGGGGTTGGACTAGAAGACCTCTAAGATCTCTTCCAATTCTGTTATTCTGATCATCTCTGTGACGTCCTGAAACTCCTCAACAGAGAACCAGAGAAACTGTAGAATGAACTTAAGGAAACCGTTAAGGGGGAATGTGATGAGAGACTGCCAAAGATGGAGAAGCAGAAGAAAGCAAAGTGGATGTCGGAACAAACCATGGAAATTGGTTTTTATTATCGCCTGTTCACCGCCCTGAGTCCCGTAAGGGAGATAGGGCGGTATATAAATTCAATAAATAATAATAATAATAATAATAATAATAATAATAATAATAATAATAATAATAATAATAATAACAACAACAACAACAACAACAACAACAACAACAACAACAACAGAAGCCGAAGCGAGGAAAGACAAAACTCTCAGGAAAGAGCTTCACAGAGTTTCAGAGAACTATTAGAAGAGACAAAGAAACAGCATCACAGCTCCTGTAAAGACACCCAGGACAGCAACAGACGTGGGAAAGCAAGGGGTGTCTTTCAAAAGATCTCTGAACTCAGAAGAGGGGTCCGACTTCAAACTGGCATGTAAGGGACACCCAGGGACAGACAGGAAGCAGCTGAAAGGAGACCAAAGGACGAGGGAAGGAAGACCCAGAAAGACGGAGGATCAGAGATCTCAGCATCCAAGATGCCCAAGGAGAACATCTCATTGTCCTCATGAGAAACTTACATACAAGTCAACAACCCCTGGTCTGGACAGAATATGAGAAACAGACTGGATCCAGGTTGGCAAAAGAGCCTAACAATATGCTTCCCTTATTTATTCAACCTATCTACTAGGTCAGGGGTAGGCAACGTTGGCTCTTTTATGACTCATGGACTTCAACTCCCAGAATTCCTGAGCCAGCCATGGGAATTGAAGTCCACGAGTCATAAAAGAGCCAACGTTGCCTTCCCCTGTACTAGGTATATGAAGGGAAGCTGGGTAGGAAGAAGAGTGCGGTTTTGGAATTGGAGGAAGAAACATCAATATGCTATGCTGATGATGACACCGTGTAGACTGGAGGTCCCCAACCTTTTGGACACCAGGGACCGGTTCCGTGGAGAAAGGTTTTTTCATGGACCGGAGGGGGGCGTGGTTTTGCAGGCTGTCTGCATCCCACAGATGGGCCTTCACTTGTTTGTGTGGCCAGTTTCTGGCATGCCGTGGCCCGATGCTGGTCCACCGACTGGGGATGGGGGACCCCTGGCGTAGACAGTCAAAAATGCAAAGGATTGGCAAGCTCTAGTAATAAAAGTCAAGGAGCAGAGGGGAAAACAGAGTTAAAATTAAATACAAAGAAGAATGAAGTATTGCAGGCTGACTCTTCCCACTGCCAGCAGTTCGATCCTGACCGGCTCAAGGTTGACTGAGCCTTCCATCCTTCCGAGGTCGGTCAAATGAGGACCCAGATTGTTGGGGGCAATAGGCTGACCCTGTAAACTGCTTAGAGAGGGCTGTAAAGCCCTGTGAAGCAGTATATAAGTCTAAGTGCTGTTGCTATGGCGACTAATGACAAGGCACAGCCAGCCTTAAAATTGGCAATGAAGCTTCCGGGAAGATAAACAGCTTCTGCCTTTCAGTGTCAGCCATGAAGAGTAAAGAAAGAAGCCATCGGGAAATTAGCCTGCGGATGAGCCCTCGGTGGAGGGTCCACGAAGACAGCGGAAACGGATGGGTCTGCCCCTCCAAAGATCAGAACCAAGGAAGCCCTGGGGGTCCCTGTGACGGGTCCCTCTATGGAAGCCAGACTGTCCGGAGGGAAAAGGACCCAGATAACCCTCCAGGTTCCTGGCTGTCCACAACTGATAATCTTCCCTGAACTGAAGAGGAGTTTTGTCTGAGGGCGACCTCTAGTGGAGGAGGCCAACCACGGCAAGGCAGGACCACCACCACCCACATACAAAGAGGCACTCACCCCTCCTCGGACCCCACCAAATGCCCCCTCCTGGCCTTGAACGTTTTTTTCCATCAGTTTTCATTTATCAAAATTTGAAAAAGGGCAGATTTTGAAGGATAACGGTTTTGGTTCCTGTGGGTTTTAAAATGTGGCGTTGGATGAAGTTAAAATGCAAATGAAACGGAGGGGAGGGGGATTTCAGATGCCAGAGATGAAACACGTGGTCACCTACAAGCAGAGCGGTCAGTCGGAGCAAGCCTTTGGCTGCAAATGGGGAGGGGGCTCCAGGTGCACAGGCCCAGGAAAGGCGAGTAGCATTCCCGCCTCCGCTCTTTCTGAGATGGGCAGCACTCTGTAGGTGTGCACGCTATGCTCCTCGGGTCCACTCTCCCTGGGCCTCATTCACACAACCATGCCTGTTTTTCTGCCCAAGGACGGACTCGGTCCAGGAGCATCACCGGCTGCCTCCAGCTTGATCAGCAGGAGACCTGTGCACCCTTGCACCCTGCCCTCCAGGCAGGACGCTAACCCCAGGAGGGCTCTGGCCATCGTTGCCGTGCCCTGCTCTAGAGCTGGGGTGCCAGTCATGGCTGGGATGCCAGGGCTTGGAAGCCAGACTTTCTGTTGAAATCTGAAGGTTTTGTGCTGGTGAACAAGCAACAGCTCCGCCAGCAGCTTCCAGCCTTGTAGGGGCAGGTTGCCCAGGAAAGGGGACGCCCCAACAGCTAGCGCACCCACCTAAGGAGTGCCCCCTCTGCACAGAGCTCCTTCGTGAGAGTACATGGGGGGGAGCTACGTCCCTCTGTATAATAAAGAAAAATAAGCACCCGGGCCTGCTGAGCGAAAAGGAGCAGGGGTGTCCAGAAGGGAGCTGAGCCAGCAGGTGGGCGCCCAGCAAATCGGGTGTGTGTGTGTGATGGTGGCACAAGGCAGCAGGGCTAGAGGGGGCGGTAGGTGATTGATAGGGACAGAATACGGAGGTATCTTTCTCTTCCCCCAAAGCATCGGGGAAGACCCCCAGGCCTCTGGGGAGTCAGCGAGAGCCCCCTGCCCTGCCCTGCCATGCCCGGCGCTCACTCAGCAGATGCTCTCTCTGTTCTTTGCAGCCAGCGGCACTTCCAACCCGAAATTCGCCATCCCGGTTGCCCCTCCTGCCTCCCTCCACCCCTCCGGCTCCCGCGGCTACTGCCACGAGTGCGCCTTCCCGTGGCACCCGCACCTGCCGACCTTGTCCCCGGCCGCACCCGGCACCCCCGCCACTGCCTTCCCAAGCGGTGCCCCCCCGGGTTTCCTCCCTTGCTGGCCCCAGCCGGTTGCCCAGCCCTCTCCGCCAGCACCCAGCCCCTTCGCCCGTGGAAGCCCCACCGCCTACCAGGCTTTTGGCTTCAGCCAAGGAGGCCCCGTGCCTGCCCAGGCACTGCCACTCGCCTTTTGGATGGGGGCAGGTGGTGCAGCGGGTGGCGGCGCTCCCTTGGTCGCTGCTCAGGTTCAGAGTGCCCTTCCGCCCCCGCCGCAGGGCAGCCAGCACCCCACCGCCCGACTGCCACTCCCTGTGGCCCCTCCCATCCCGGCCCCACCGCCTGAGGTCGGGAAGGGCGAGCCCCCGGCTCCAGAGGGAGGCCTGCAGCCCCTGCCCACCCTGGAGTCGAAGGAGAGCAGTGGCTCGGTCCAGCGAGAGGGCGCCGCAGACAGCAGCAGCAGCACCGTCGGTGCCAGAGAGCAAGGTGAGAGCGGCAGGCGAGCGAGCCGTGGCAGGGGGGGTGCGAGAGCCTAGGACCCTCTGCCCCGGAGACTGGGCCCAGGCCAGAGGAGGGGGCGGTTGCCTGGCGGAGGGATGCAGGAGGATTCTGCAATGCTGGGAGCCCCGTGGTTCCTTCCAGGCTAAAAAGTTTGGCCCAGGCAAGAAGCTGAGAGCAACATACTTCCAAGTTACTCTGTCAAATTCCAGATGGAATTAAAAGCAGGGAAGTAGGTGTTCCCCAGCCCCATTCCTGGTAGGGTCCCACCCCCACCCTGATCGCCCCGCTGCTCTGCCCCCTTGACTGTGGCCTGGCTGGCCTGGCCTTCTCATGCCCGGATACCGGGTGGCACCCTCACCCATGGCGCTGGCTCAACGCAGCCTCTGGCTGTCCCTGTTTCCTTCTCCCTGCTAGGGCAAGGTGATGCCCAAGTCATCCTGAACCTGCCTCCTTCCCAGCCCCCATCACCCGCCCTGCTTTGGTGCACAGAAATGCATGGAGCAGGGAGAGGTCCTGGCCAGGGCAGCCCACCCACCACCATTGCTCACCGCTGGCTCTCAGCAGCGTCTTTCCCCCTCCCCTCAGTGATGACCAGGCTCTGGGAGGGGCAGCTCCTGGTCCCTGAGAGAGAAGCCGGCCCAGCTTTGGTCCCTGCTGCGGGAGGGGCTGCCTGGGGCCAGGGCCGCAAGGGTCGCTGCTGATTGGCCTTCTCTTGCAGAAGCCAACAAGCAAGAGCGTATTGTGGGCGAGGTGGCCTTCCAGCTGGACCGCCGCATCCTCTCCAGCATCTTCCCTGACCGACTCCGCCTCTACGGCTTCACCGTTCGCAACATCCCTGAGAAAATCTCACAGGTGAAGCGACACCCCCCCTTGCGGCCTGTCCCTACCCCGGGAGGGCATCTGTGGGGCAGGAGGAGATGCTTTCTGCCCTGCGAGGTGTGGCAACAGCCTGCTTGGCCCCTCAGTCTGGGGCAGCCACATGACCCCCTCCTGCGACTCCGCCTGGAGTGACCTTTGGGGCTTTGCATGGGGAAAGCACACAGCCCCCGCCCAGCTTCTCCGGTAGTCAGCAGGGGGCAGAGTAGGTCAGGTAGTTTGCCCCCCATGGCTGGACTGAGCCCTGCCCTTGCCCCACCCACAGAGGCTGCTTTCCCGGGCTCCCTCAGAAGGGGGGGCAGTTGTGGTTCTCACCTCTCCTGGTTAGGGGGCTCTCTCTTTGGGAGGCCCCAAGTGATGCTCAGGCTGTGCCTCTTGCCCCCCACCCATCTCACGCTCCCCGTCTCTCCCCAGAGAGAAAAGGACCCCTTTCTGCAGCTGAGCCTGGAGCAGTCCGACACCATCATGCAGCGCTACCAGAGCATCATGGACTCCCTGAAGCCTCTGGGCTACGACCCCAGTGTCCACCCAGGCCTGACGGAGCGCACGGTGAACACCTTCGGCATCCTTCGTGAGCGGCCAGAAGCCACCAGCCCCGAGGCAGCCACCTACAGCGACATCCAGCACTTGGAGGAGGTGGTGAGGAGCGTGGCTCCCCCCGAGATGGTGGAGGACTGCCTGCTGCTGCTGACCTGCCTCCAGAAGCTCTCGCAGGAGGACGGGAAGCCCCTCTTCATCTGGTGACAACCCCCCCCCCCCGTCCCTCCTTATTGTGCACACCCATTAAAGGCAATAAAGGTCTAGAAAGGACTGGCTCTGTCTCGCCCTCTCAATCCGGAGCCCAAGACCAACGGCTGATGCCACCGCACACCCATGTCTGGGGGAAAAGCTGGACCTTTTGGGGGGGGCGGGCGGCTCTGGAGGTTAAAAGCCTTGGATTAAATATTAACAAATCCCAGGTTGGGATGATTGTGGTGACATAAGCGTGATGTAAAATAGACCAAGCAATGTTTCATAGGAATTTGCACAGCAGCGCCCCGAGTTGTATGCGGATGCCCTGTTTTACAAAAGACAATTGAACTAAGTGTAATTAATGAGGTTGGAGGATCTGCGTATTTTCACCTTCAGGTGTTTCCTAAAAGAAAATTGACTGGTTATCTGCCATCAAGTCACTGTCAGCTCTTCATGACCACCTAGAGTTTCTCCATGGCCATCTGCCTTCAATCTGGTCTTTAGATCCGGTCAGCAAAGGAGCCCAGGGACCTCAGTGCTGGTCACCCCTTCTTCTCGGGCTATTCCCAGCAGTGGAGCTGTGCCTGAGAGAGAGGTCTTCTGCTCATGTGTCTGATGGAGGCGAGTTTGAATCTGGTCATTTTTGCTTCATCCTGGTCTGGTTTGTCTGAGGTCTTGGAGTCCCTGACATTCTGAGGAGCTTCTCCCACCCCCAAGTTCAAATGGATCAATGCTCTTCACCTCCTGCTCGGATCTTGGCTTGCCTGCCTGCTATGAGGCTCTTCCAACTGGTCCTTCTCCAGATTTGCTATCAGAACCTTGACTGCATCTTCTGTCGCTTGCCGTATCTCGGGGTCTCCCTCAGTTCTTGTAGCCTTCTGAATTGGTGATAGCTGAAGGGGGGGTCTCCCTTGGTCTTCTGGGGACAGGCAGCATCTCCTGAGGCGTCGTGGATGCTGACATCTCTGCTGCTCCGTCTTTCAGTACAGATAGTCCTTGACTTACAATCCTAATGGAGCCTGCCCTGCCCTCTGCCGGCTGCCCCTTTGCCGTCGTCTCCCCTCCCTGGTGGATGGCACTGGCCAAGGGGGCAGGCCAGCCTCCGTCCTCGGTTCTTGAGCTCCCGCTGGCTCTCCAGCCTCACCCAATGATGGAGAGAGCTTGGGCTCACCCTTCTGGCCTGGCGGAGCCTGGGAAACTCCCCTTGGCAGATGAGACTCTGCGCTGACCACAGGAATGCCAAGGCTGCAGGCTTGCCCAGGGGGGGTCTGTGACAATTCACTGTGGCCAACTTGCCACAGCAAGCTCACCACGGCCAAGTTGCCCCATTCCATGCCCAGGCAGCAAACATATGCTCTTCCTCCCCTACCACAACAACCCTGCGAGAGAGAACGACTGGGGCAAAGTCACCTGGTCAGTTTTCATGGCAAAGGCGGGACTAGAATTCACCGTCTCCTGGTTTCTGGTATGGTGCCTTAACAATTCTCACATACTTGCAGTTGTAAGTGTGGGGGGGGGAAGCTGCCTAGCATCTGAATTTTGATCATGTGATCACTACACTACAACAGCTGTAACTTCAGGGACCATTCATCAATCCATTTTTCCAGCACTGTTGTAACTTCAAACAGTTGCTGAACCAGTAGTCCAAAGGAAAAATGTGTTCCCACTGAGAAGGTAACTTGGCTGCCCCAGATTAAGGGGGGGGGGGAATAGCCGTTTCCTGTCCCCTATTAGATGCTACCACCTCCATTTCTCTCTCTCTCTCTCTCTCTCCATCCTGCAGGTGTTGGCGGTGGAACAATCTCGCTTCAAAATGCTTCTCAGCGGAGCAGCGGCAGCTCAATTGTCCCGCGGGGCTACTGCTTTGAGTGCCCCATCCCATGGCACCCCCACCTACCAGGCCCCTCTACCCCTGGGGGAGGGCTTCCCCTCACCATGCCAGCCAGTCTGCCCAACCTGCCTGCCACCACCCAGCCAGGCGGGACCTTCATTTCCCCTGGCAACCTCACCGGCACCCAGCTCAGCCCCGTCTTCCCTGGCAGCAGTCTGCCCAACCTGCCGTCTGCACGGCAGGTAGGGGGGACGTTCTCCATCCCCGGCTCTCAAGGGGGGATGCCCCACTGGTACATTGGTAGCTCTGAGCTCCCTAGCACCCAGAACCTCTCCCAGCTGCCCTCCGTCTTCTGCAGCCCCACCAGGCCCACTGCTGGACAAGGAAGGGGGACGTTCTCCATCCCTGGTGATGAAGGGTTGCCCAAATGGTATGTTGACAGCGCCGAGCTCCCCAGCACCCAGAACCTCTCCCAGTTGCCCTCCGTCTTCTACAGTCCCACCAGGCCCACTGCTGGACAAGGAAGGGGGACGTTCTCCATCCCCGGCGATGAAGGGTTGCCCAAGTGGTATGTTGACAGCGCCGAGCTCCCCAGCACCCAGAACCTCTCCCAGCTGTCTTCCGTCTTCTGCAGCCCCACCAGGCCCACTGTTGGGCAAGGAGGGGTGACATTCTCCATGCCCAGCACTCTAGGCAGTCTCGAGCCACCCAGCACACAGAACCTGTCGCAGCTCACCTCTGTCTTCGGCAGTAGCCTGCCCTCCACCCAGCTGATCTCCCAGCTGCCCTCCGCCTTCCTCAGCCCTACCCAGCCTGCTATTGCTGGGCAGGGAGGGGGGACTTTTCCCTTTCCCTGCTCTACAGGGAGTCCCGAGGCGCCCAGCACACAGAACCTGTCGCAGCTCACCTCTGTCTTCGGCAGCAGCCTGCCCTCCACCCAGCTGATCTCCCAGCTGCCCTCTGCCTTCCTCAGTCCTACCCAGCCTGCTACTGCTGGGCAGGGAGGGGGGACTTTTCCCTTTCCCTGCTCTACAGGGAGTCCCGAGGCACCCAGCACACAGAACCTGTCGCAGCTCACCTCTGTCTTTGGCAGTAGCCTGCCCTCCACCCAGCTGATCTCCCAACTGCCCTCTGCCTTCCTCAGCCCTACCCAGCCTGCTACTCCTGGGCAGGGAGGGGGGACTTTCTCCATGCCCTGCGTTCCAGGGAGTCCCGAGGCGCTCAGCATGCAGAGCCTCTCCCCACTGCCCTCCCTCTACATGAAGCCCGCTGCTAGACCAAAAACGAGGATATTCACCTTCCCCAGTGTTTCATGCAGCCCCGAGCTGCCCAGCCCCCAGCAGGTCTCCCAGCTGGCCTCCATGTACATGAAGCCCACTTCTGGGCCAGGAGGTGGGACGTTCTTCCCCAGTGCTCAAGGGACTCCTGAGGCTCCCAGTACGCAGAACCTGTCACAGCTCACCTCTGTCTTTGGCAGTGGCCTGCCCAGCACCCAGATGATATCCCAACTCAGCTCCCCCTTCAGCCCTAGGGTCACTTTCACAGGGGATATGCCCTCAATGACCCTCCCCACCCAGCAGCAGCCCTTCCAGCCCATCGAGACCTCAAGCCCCATCCAGCCTGCCCAGGGAGGGGGGGCTTTCTCCATGCCCTGCATTCCAGGGAGTCCCGAGGCGCTCAGCACACAGAGCCTCTCCCCACTGCCCTCCCTCTACATGAAGCCCGCTGCTAAACCAAAAACAAGGATATTCACCTTCCCCAGTGTTTCATGCAGCCCCGAGCTGCCCAGCCCCCAGCAGGTCTCCCAGCTGGCCTCCATGTACATGAAGCCCACTTCTGGGCCAGGAGGTGGGACGTTCTTCCCCAGTGCTCAAGGGACTCCTGAGGCTCCCAGTACGCAGAACCTGTCACAGCTCACCTCCGTCTTTGGCAGTGGCCTGCCCAGCACCCAGATGATATCCCAACTCAGCTCCCCCTTCAGCCCTAGGGTCACTTTCACAGGGGATATGCCCTCAATGACCCTCCCCACCCAGCAGCAGCCCTTCCAGCCCATCGAGACCTCAAGCCCCATCCAGCCTGCCCAGGGAGGGGGGGCTTTCTCCATGCCCTGCGTTCCAGGGAGTCCCGAGGCGCTCAGCATGCAGAGCCTCTCCCCACTGCCCTCCCTCTACATGAAGCCTGCTGCTAAACCAAAAACGAGGATATTCACCTTCCCCAGTGTTTCATGCAGCCCCGAGCTGCCCAGCCCCCAGCAGGTCTCCCAGCTGGCCTCCATGTACATGAAGCCCACTTCTGGGCCAGGAGGTGGGACGTTCTTCCCCAGTGCTCAAGGGACTCCTGAGGCTCCCAGCACGCAGAACCTGTCACAGCTCACCTCCGTCTTTGGCAGTGGCCTGCCCAGCACCCAGCTGATATCCCAACTCAGCTCCCCCTTCGGCTCTAGGGACATGCCCTCAATGACCTTCCCCACCCAGCAGTACCCCTTCCAACCCATCGAGGCCTCAAGCCCCATCCAGCCTGCCCAGGGGGCCAATTACCTCAGCACCTCTATCTCCCCTCCCTCTGGCCCTTGCCCTCCCTCCTACATGGTCCCCTCCTGGGATTCTTATGGCGGTTTGCAGCTCCCACCCCCTATCAGTGACCCCTTTTCCCAGTTCTCCTCTGAACTCTTCCCCTCGGGACCTGGCACGGGATCTGACCTCGGGAAGCCCCCCTGGCCTCGGCCACCTGGGCTGCCACTGCCTGCCATGACCAGCATCTCCCCACCGAACCTCTCCGAGTATTCACGCTTGCCTGGAAACATCTATAATCTCGGGGGGGACCCCAACCAAGCCCCATACAGTCCTGGCCAATTTTCTCCCTATTCCCCATCTGGCATTTTCTCCCAGCCAGACATCTGCAATCCATTCAGCCCCGGCAGCTCTATTGGCACAATTGGCACTCCCGATGGCAGCCCTTTTGTTTCAGTGGTTCCAGGGTCCCCAGACATGTCCAGCCTCTATGGGCCGATGGCGCTAGGAGATGCAAGGAGCATTTCTGGTGGCCTAATGACCCCGTCCGGCACATCTGCCTCCAGTGGCACCAGTGTCTTCAGGTCGCTGGTCCCAGACGCCACCAGCCCTTTTCTGTCCCCGGCCAGCTGCCCTGACATGTCCAGCCTGTACGGCCCCATGTTCCCGGC